TCCATCTGTCCACACTGTCCCATCAGTCCACGCTGTCCATCTGTCCACACTGTCCCATCTGAACTCCACACTGTCCCCTGCTGTCCACGCTGTCCATCTGTCCACACTGTCCCCTGCTGTCCACACTGTCCCCTGCTGTCCACACTGTCCATCTGTCCACACTGTCCATCTGTCCACACTGTCCATCTGTCCTCCACGCTGTCCCTCGTTCTCTCTCGCAGCCCCCGTTTTCCTTCATGGGCTGGAGGGTGGCGTCCGGGTGCTGTGCCTGGCTGACCGCTGCTGTCCCACAGGTGAAGTGGATCTTCTCCTCGGTGGTGGAGCTCAAGCAGACGATCACTCCCACCTACAGGAACATGATTGAACAGGGACCCTAGACCCTAGGCCGAGGCCTAGGGCTTTCCAGTCCCCTGCGGAGCTGAGGAAGATGATCTCCCTGGACTACAGGAGCATGATGGGGCCGGGGCCCTCGCACCGCCTCCTGCATGGACCAGGGCTCCCAAGCCCTGTGGGATGACAGCCAGGCCACACCTGTCCTGTGTCCTCACTGCCCCTGACCTTGCAGCCCCCTGATCTGCAGCTGCCCTCCCTGGACCGCATGGGTCACAGGCTCTGTCCCACAATGTCAGCGTCACGGCCATGATACCTTCCACAGCACCCATCAAGCCGTGGGCCCAGCACCAGAGGTCTGTGCATCCCCTCACTGGGACTTCCCTCTCCTCCATCCCTGTGACTCGGCCCTGTGGGAGGCAGAGGACAGCACTGCCCATGTCTGTCTTCTCAGTGATGGGCCTTGGAGACGGCCTTATCCCTGCTAGCCTCCTGACCACACAGTCTTCTGAGAAAGAGGGAAGTTTGCAGAGTAAAGAGCTGCCCATGAGTTAGGGGAGCACGTCGTGCCCCGAAGGAGGGCTGGGGCTGGGCTGCCAGCGTGGCTCTTGGATTTTGCCCAGCCCAGTCCCAGCCAGGCCAATCTCGGCACTTGAGGTCACTCCAGACTGACCAGTGGGGTTTTTTTTGGTTATGAGGCTTGAACTCCCTGAGATCCTTTGTTCTACAGGGCAGGGAGAGAAGCTTTCAAATTTTTTATGTTTTTATTTTTTAATTTTATCATAAGTGTGATGTACAGAGGGTTACAGTGACATAAGTCAGGTAATGGGTTCATTTCTTTTTTTTTT